TCGCCATGTCCTCCAGGAACTCGGGCGAACACCGTGACCGTCGACATGGGTCGCCGACCATGACTGCTAGCGTTTCCGCAGGAACTTCGGGTCGTGGTGAGCCAGTCTTCACATCCGAGTCAAGCTCGATGTCCACCGTCTTTACGACCAGCTTCTCGACGACATCCGGAGTCTTCGATCGTTCCCGTGAGCGCTGTCTTCGTGGCTTATCGTGCTTGGATGACTTTCTCGATCTTGCGGAGGTATGGGACGCGGCGACGGAGGGCATAGGGAGTGGTGGAGAGGGTGATTTAGACAAAAGAGGGTGTGAAGGGTCTCTTAAGAGGGTAAGGGTCCGGCGAGCTGGGTTGGCTATCTAGCCTTGATCGATGTTCGCCTCGCGGACACCGCAAGGCAGGTGAAGGGGTGAAAGGTGGGCAAAGATGCCAATGCGCCACCGCTGTGGTCGCGGAGTCCCTTGGGACTTTTAGGCCACGGTCGCTTCATGACGCCGGTCACTTTTTCCGAAAGGGTTTATCACCATTCATCACTCAGACAGATTGGATCCTATCACGATGCCAACCAAGCCGATCCTTTGTTTTATCGACTCGCATCACAGGGATCCATACGGGCATCCAAGGAGATCCAGGGTATTGTGTAAGGTGCAAACGAGAGTGTAAGTAGGCTCGTAGGGTATGGAAAGTAACAATCGTCGAACGTGAATATGACAAAGTCCGTGGCAAAGTGACCAAGGAAGAGCACTCCGTGCCAAAACACTGGAGGAATTATCGCCCTTGATTTGCATGTAAAGCAAATGACCGATGAAAGGCCGGGGTATTCATGAGAAGGTATGTACCAGAGAGCATGAAATGCAGTCATAGAGTCTATCGTGAAGATCATACCTGAGGACATGTCAGATGGCAGCGCTGAACAAGCTCGAGAAAATGCTCACCAAGCTTAGTTCCAAAGTCCAAACCCGACGCGCCCAAAGCTTCACGGTCTTGGCTGGCGCTTCATCAGAAGCCGGTAGCTCGACATCGATACCATCCCACCAACATTTCCGCTACGGTACTTGTAAGTGAACATGAGTTGCAAACACCACGCATAACTCACAGCAGGCTTTCTCCAGAACAACAAAAGCTTTTGGGCAGTCGCCATTTGAGGATAGTCGACTTCTACGGGCTTCTCCCCATTGGGATGATGAACAATCCCAGTCTTAAGCAGCACAAGCGCAATCGACGATATGCAGCACCGCGATGGCTCTAATGCGCGGAAACCCCACTCATCATCACGGTCGAAACCACTAAATTTCAAATGCGTAAGCGCGACTTCCACCCACGTTTTGACGCGACTCACCTCATACACAACATATCTATAAGGTGCTGTTCAGCAACATTGTTTTCTTTGTTCACATTCCGCTGAAGTGCCGTGAAAATATTCCGCTTCTCCATAAGGTAGTCTCCCGACCGTCGCTTGATGTCTATGAGCGTGTCATTCGCTAGGCCATTCTGGTCCGTGGCAGCATCCCCATCCTTAGGGGGTATTGAGAAGTATTCAAGTTCTTCACGGAGAACGATAATAGCCTGCTTCGACAGAAGAGGATTTTGTGACGCTGCCGGTCCAAAGTCGTTCTGCGGCCCGTCCAGGAGATGCTGTTGTGCAGCAAAAAGCCCCGGTGATGTACCAGTGCCATAGAAGGTCTCTGAGGCAGTTCGGAAGAACGTTAGGACATATTGGAAGCAGTCTGGGTCGAACTGCAGAAAATCGTTATTTATGGAATATATAGTGCCACATGACAGTCGACACGGTGCGTGTTACTCACGTCGACGCCATACACCTCCTCATCCTCCTCATTGTCCCCACCATCAGAGAGAGCTACACTTTGGCGACTAAGAACGAGTCCATTAGGGAACAGACATAGAAGAACGGATTCGGGCAAATTCATGATCGTTTCCCGGTCAACTTCGAAACGCCTGCCACGCAGGTCCAGGAACAGCCTAGTAAGCAGCTGCGGTTGCAGGTTGGTATGTGCAGGCACTGCATGCTGCGATACCTGCGTGATTGGTGAAGAGGAGATGTTGAGGGCCGCCATGTCGAGGTGACCGTTGAACGTTGAAACCTGGGGAACGTTGCGGACTCGTGTCGCGGTACTGGAGGAACCAAACAAATCATAACCTCCTTTCTTTCACACCACGATAATTCCATTTTTGAAATCTTTCCAAGGCTGGCCTGACTTTATACTTAGCAGTATCGCATGGAAGGCGTTACGGTCATGAGCCCAATAGTGACTGTCAGGATCTGAAGTCGACACTTTGGTATGAGCTTGGTGGTGAGCTATCTCAAAATTAGTCCCTTGCCATAGTATAACAACCTGTCAAGGAGAAACGTGGATATTGTCACCGCGTCCTTCAGTATGTCGATGGAACAATATGACTATTGCGTAGACCATATCTCCCCAGGTCGCGTCGACGTGATTCAGATGATGGCTTCTGACCACAGCGTAGACCATATCTCCCCAGGTCGCGTCCACGTAGTTCAGATGATGGCTTCTGACCACAACAGTATCATATAACACCTTCATGATTTGTTTCTTCCTCGGTCTCGAAGTCAGAGCCTAGGGCCAACACTATCGTGCGGTTGGGGGGAACCAAGTCTTCGCAGGCAGCGCATGCCAAGAACTTTCCTCAACAAATCAGACCGTCGATATACAAACTCGTCGCCCCACTTCTTTCTTCGCTTTCATGTTGGCTTTTCAAATGGTGCCGAGAGTCCCGGAGAGATAGTGTTACTTCGCCCCCGGCGCTGGAGTCATCTTAAAGCAAGAGTTTCAGATGATCGAGGCATGTTCTCCCGGGGTCATCGCTTGGGTATGTGGCTCCATGTTTTCTTTGTGAAGGACCTTGACATTACATCACCACCCACATCAGTCGAAGCTGCTACCTAAAATAACTTAGCCCCCAACTCTATGTTTCCCGATCATTCGGACCGCACCGTACAGAATACGTCCCGACAAACGCGCTCGCGATACAACAAAACCGCTTTTGGTACCGTCACAATGGCACATAGTCCATTCTAGGCTGGTGGTAGGGCCGGCCCTGATACGCAGAGTTTCTAGACCTCGGATTGCTTCACGTGTTTCAGAAACGGCGCTTCGAGAACCCATTGAACCTCTTCAGGTTCGATGCACAGCCTGTCTTTGAATTGTTTCTATCAGGTGCCTACCTTTTCGACAGAATCAATGAGAGGCCATACTACAATCTGATGAATGCTCAAGCCACCGACGCCATCCATCAATTTCTTAGTTCCAACTTTGGTTAGTATGTTTTGTAGGATTTGCAGACATCTTCAGTGTTGAGGGTAGCATCGCATTCAATCAACTCCGGACCTTATTAAAGCTCTGAACGATTGCTCCTAACGCGTGTTACCATCTTGAAACCCCATATCACATAGGTTCTATGACTCCAGAGGAAAGAGGCCTCCTTCGGGAACTAGCCTCATCTATCTTCTCCGGTCTTGCAGGTCTAACTGCCATAATTCTGGTCTATGGTACGGATGGAATTCCGTATTTTGGTGCCACTGAACTTCGACTGAGGCTATCTTTATTTTTCATCCAGGGAACTTCATTTTGCTTTTGTCTGTCACGATACATTCAGCGATGTGCGCGACATATTCCCCTTCAACTTGTTTGATGCTCTAATCGGAGATGCAGAAGACGAGGCCTTACAACGCGTCCGAAACAGGGATTATTTGTAGCGTCAATTCTTGGTTTCCTCGCCGCGAGCGTATATTGTTCATTGGCGTGGACATATCTCCCTGAGCTGATCCGAGGAACCCTCATGGAGGCGAAGCTTGATTTGGTCAAGAAGCGAAGCTTGTTTAATGGGCATTATAAGCTCAATATCGCAAATTCGTGGTTGTCGGCGCTTCTGGTACGTGTTTATTTCTTCATGAACTTGGTCAGGAGTCTGACGTATTGTTCTATACCATTAGCCGGTCTTTAATGACTCTTTTGTGACTTGGCGCGGTTGGGTACTTTTCCCAGATCGACGAAGGGCCCTTATCTTCGCTGTGATTTTGTGTCTAGCTGCATTCGGTGGGCCCGAAGAATACTTCTGTCTGTCACCATCTCACTTAACTCCCCTTTCGATGACTAGCCGCGGAGCTTACGGTGCTTGTGTTGATAAGCTCGAACTTTGCTGTATATTCTGCAATGATTGAAAATCAAGCTGGTTTGGCGTGGTATCTCAGTAGCGTAGGGCCAAGTCTGTCACTGGCAGCCAATGTGGTCGCCACATATATCATTGCTCATGGGCTATGGTCAGTCAAAAAAAAGTTACTATGTCCTTTATTTTATTATATCGACACAGGAGGCATCGAAAATTCCTCGTAAGCCATCTCAACCAGCGGCAGTGTCGACAATTTCGAATCCAGAAAATTTTGGGCCTCTTAGTGGACTCTGGATTAGTCTATTGTGGATTGCAGGTGCGTAAGATCTCCCATGACACATACACAGATTTATATTGCCCATTGACAATTGCAGGTAATCGTACTGATCTTATGTTTCGTGGATTCTGGGGATTTCCGCCTTCATCTATCTCTAGACATTACCACGCAGGCATTCGCCTTTTTTCTCGTTGAGGTGGGGGTAAGTACCTCGAATTCCTTGCAAGCATATTCAGGAGAGCTGTTAACTTCGGTTTAGGCCATGTACCCGACTCTGGTTGGGTTCCTCGTAAGACAGCAGGGCTCGTTCATGGAGACATATGGATCCGAGGACCATGGGGCGCACGTGGAATAATGTCGCGCTATCAACACTGTCTTCTCATGCCTAACTAGTACTGCCGACATGGTGGAATTCTTACATTCCCGCTGTGATTTGCTTTGCTCAATTTAATGAGAATAAAACTCACACCCTATGGACTGGACATAAGGAAATGCACCCGTTATTGCAAGCCTGCCCAAAAAGATAAATGTAGCAGCCGTCTGACATGGTGGTATCGCAGGTACCAATTTTAACTATGTCTTTGCTAGTATATCGGTTAGTACACGCGCTTGTCATACCACTGACCCCGTGCCTGATACGCGCGAAAGCTGGGTTCGACTCCCAGGCAGAGAGTTATTTTTTCTCGCCTGACCTGGGTATTCACGCACCACTGCTCGTTAGTATTACTCCATCTTTCTACATGGTAGAATCGCTGCAAGATGGTACAATTTTCTCCAGCGCAGGCGCCTCGTCCGCAATATTATCAGGACCTTGGGGCTACACTTTGCGGTGGTGGAATATCACGCCAGCGCTCGAAGTCTCTATTCTTCTCTTCTGATATGTGCTCTCAAGTGGTCCGACATTTCTGCAAGGTTTCGAGGCAGGCCGTTCCGAGTCCAAGCCTGATCGTCATGCCACGACCTTGAGCCGCTGACTTCCAAAAGAGAACCAGGGAGGGGCTGGGGAGAGAGCCACCCGCAAGATGGGTTATTCATGAGTTATGTCAGAACAGAAGGTTTTAATGAGCGAGGCGCCGGCATGTCCTTCCACTGGCAGGCTCATCTGCTGGGCGTAGCATTGGTATTCTGCCGTTACTGCAAACCTACCCAAAAAATATCAATAGCAGCCGTCTTGAGTTGCTCATATGATTAGCATCCAAATCCGTCAAACATGTCTTTGCTAGTATATCGGTTAGTACACGCGCTTGTCATGAATCTTCTGTATGTTCTCATGCGCGCGAAAGCTGGGTTCGACTCCCAGGCAGAGAGTCATTTTTTTCGCCCCACCTTGATATTCTCTACGCACGACCGCTCGTCGCTGGGATCCATATTTTCAAATTCCAGGGCAATCGTGCCACAATGGAATTGCTGCAAGGTGGTACATCAGGGGCCTCGCCAGCATTATCGGGGATTTGGAGACTATATTTTGCTGCGGCGGCGCCCCAGCGCTCGGAGTCTCTGCTTTCTGTCCAAGCCTCCGAAGTAACGACACTTCGCCGTTCGGCCAGGCTTCAATCCGGCCGGTCCTAAAGACATTGTCATGCCCATGAATATGACGAGCCGCTGTGGTTGAACTTCGAAACTTCGAGAAGAGGACATGCGTGAGCTAGGGACGGGCCACGGGATGATGGGTACATCACCACCACGTATCCATCGAAGCTGCTCCCTGGGTCCAGGGGATGTGGTGACCATTCAGATAGTGCTAAAATCACCTTGCTGCTTGCTGAGAGTAGCGAACTTGAACAACATGATAGATTTTCGGTCGGAATAGGCTGTAATGGATATCGACCACTTGGGTACGGTAGAAGGTCCTTATCTCATGCCATCTTCGCACAATCGGCATGCCATCGTGGCGTAACGGTAGCGCATTGCTTTCCTATACTCATTCGAGGTGCGAGGCAAAGGTTGTGGGTTCGAACCCCATCGATGGTTAGTCACCACAGGGCCCCTGCAAGTTGATCGGGGCCAGGAACGCGGCAGGCAGTCTTTTTGGAGCCGTGCGCGCCTAGACGCGCCTCCAGCGGACTGCCGAGGAATTCTTGTATTTGGGATCCTGAATTCGTCGGCGACTCGGAGAGAAAGCAAGGAATAAGATGATCATCATCGCCAGCGGCCAAAGCATGATCGAGCTTCGCAATGATCTTTTTCCACGGAAGGGCGCGATTAGCTTCGTATCTTACATTTTCCGAGCTCGCCCTGTGTCACTGTGCCAGATATACGCCGTCGAACGGCGGTTCGCCATGGCGCCGGTCCCATACCCAAGAATTCGTCGTTCGTAATCTATTTTGGTGATGACGCCACATCATGAACCAGTTTCTCACATAGAGGGCACCCTCGCCATGATGGTGGGTGGTTCCAACTTTCAGTCCAATCAATGGCTTGAGCGCTTGCGGGTGGCCGAGTTATCAAAGCTCAGCAGCTAGGCCGTCTGAGGTTGGTTTGGAACTAGGTCGAAGAGACAGAGATTTCTGAGACTCAATGTGATTATTCGAGTTATAATGCGTCATTTAGCTTTCTCCGACAGGAAGATGACGAACTGGCATGCATGACTCGGACGGAGCATCTCCCGTTTGAAATGAGGTGGATCGTCCCACAGAGGTCTGGTTGGAGTGGTGATGATGCATGTTTTCTGTGTTGGATTCGGAGTTACGCGCAATTCGGGGTAATGTCGTCAACAACTACGTACACCGCAGTGCTGCGTGTGATGCATGATGAACGGTAGTCGCTTAGTGGTTGCGTTTGTACTGCATTCCTGCCTCGTTTTACTGTTTCGCCGAGCTTCTAGGAGTAATATTGTGAACGGACGAAAGTTGCCGAAAACGGCAAGGTCCGGCGACTCAACGGCGAACCTCGTTTTGCTCTCAGTCAGACCTACAAGCCGAGACAACGCTGCTCATCATCGGCCAGCTCGCTGCCCTCCCCCCCACCCGGCACCTCGCTGCCTCCCTCCCTCCTTTCCTCAGTCGACCCTGTCCTGAGTTCACAACACAAGTTCTGCTGGTACAAAACGCTCCTTCAACATGGATCATCGGGGTGACCAACGCCCTCCCCGTGCTGCTCGGCCAGCGAGCCAGCAACCTCAACAATCCAGATCACCCGCGCCATCCTACAATACCGCTGCCGCAAACAGACCTTCTGCATTCCTTCCAAACGATGGCTCCAGAGGCAATGTGTCCTTTCAGAACCTCGAGCGTGGCGACCGCCAAGGCCCACTTGATACCCCACGACAGCGCTCCATGCCAACTGCGTACCAGGGCCATCTCGCTTCTGGCGCTGACCCAGAGAGTGCAGACTACTTCGATCCCTCAAAGGTAGCCCGCAAGAAGAGCCTCGTCAGACCCGACCGTGAAAAAATCGAACCCGGCCATCGTCAATGGCATTATCGAACTCATGTTGCACAGATGGAGGATGAGGGCCAGAGAATGGGTGTCATGCCTTCAAGTACGTTCTACTTGCCCATGTTCAACTTCCCCACTGCATGGGGATTTTAATTTCATTTCTTACGCAGCGACCGGTAACTACCCTCAACGAGAAACTCTAAGACGAGGCAAGTCGCTCCTAGGTCGTGAAGAAGATCAACACGAGTCGGGTCTAGCGCTGTTCAAGCGGAGTGCTACGCTCCGGCGAAAACGTGCTCCATCCGGTACGACCCCCATCCCCGGCGGGGTGTCTGAGGCGAAGCAGAAGAGGAGAGGATGTTATACCGGGCCAGGGCCAGGTGGGCCATGGATGACTTATTGCCTCATTGTCACCTGCCTGGTCCCCCCTGTCTTCATGAAAGCTTGTGGTACGCCTCCCGACACAACCATCATCGTGTCACCTAACTAGCCCCTCTAGGTTTGCACACACCCGAACAACAACGGGCATGGCGAGAGAAAATGGGTCTCATCAGTCTCATCCTGATCCTCATGGCTGGCGTCGGCTTCCTGACGTTCGGCTTCACCGAAAGCGTGTGTGGCACACCCCCTAATCGCTTCCACGGGGGCGCCGTTGGTGATGGCTACATTGGCAACAGCTCTGTCGTCATCCATGGATACGACTACGACTTTTCGAAATTTAATCACCCGAAGACCACCGCGGTTTTTAATGGCACCACGAATCCCGTACTCACAGGCAATTGGAACCTCGGTGGCAATGATGCCTCTTTCATGTTCCAAAACGTTAATCAGAAGTGCCTTGGCCTCATCGCCAAAGCTAATACTTCGAGCATAAGTGGATCCGGCAGTTTCCTGGACTGGTATTTCCCCTGTAACGTCTACAGTCAGACTGGCTCCCAGGGCGCCAACATATCCAATTACGAACAGAGTACCACCTGTCACGTAACTCCAAAGGCCAGGACGCAGTTCAGCACAATCAAACCTCAAGGACAGGTATATTACACCTGGGATGACGTGCACAATCCCAAACGCAACTTGGCCGTCTACGAGTCGTGAGTTCAAAACTTGTCTGTTTTTCGCCCTTGTCCGACGATTGGAAATAGCTCTGTCCTCGACTTACACCTCCTGACATGGCTCAGCGGAGCGCAAGTCAGGTACCCTAGTATCTTCAACGACATGAAGAATGCTAACGGGACATACAACGGCAAAGACATTACCATGATGCTCCTTCGCACCGGCCAACAGGACATCGGGCACTGTCTGCAGGATATCATCACCATCGGGTTCATCGACACGAACAGCATCGGCTGTGTGGCCTCCTCTGTTGTCCTCTACCTGTCGCTCATTTTCATCATCGGGGTCGTTGCCATCCGCTTCGTCATGGCCGTCATGTTCGCGTGGTTCTTCTCGTGGAGAATCGGTAACTTCCCTAGGGAGACGTATGAGCAGCGCATGCAGCGTTCCGCGGAGATCGAAAATTGGACCAACGACATCTACCGTCCAGCGCCCAGCGAATACCGGCCGAATGTTAGCAAGAACGGTCTCGGCGCCAAGGCCAACAATCGCAAGACGTTCCTCCCGAGCCATTCGCGCTTCACGCCGTCTGACAACATCCTCCTCAAGAACGGCCAACGGCCAACGACCGCGTACAGCATCATGGACTCGTCGTCCTCGACGAACTGGAAGCGTTCGACGATGTATTCAAGCACAGGGAAAGCCGGCTCTAAAGTTACACCTCCGGAATCACGCAGCACAATGTCCCTTCCCGAGACGCCTTGTCCGTTCCCACTACAGAATGTGGTGCCCCAGCCCCCGCATGACTACGAGCCGTTTAACTTCCCCCTTGCGCACACGATGTGCCTCGTCACGGCGTACTCCGAGTCCGTGGAGGGTCTGCGCACGACGCTCGACTCACTTGCGACGACGGACTACCCGAACAGCCACAAGCTCATTCTCGTTATCGCAGACGGCATGGTCACCGGTGCAGGCAACACTCTCACGACCCCCGAAATCGTTGTCGGCATGATGAAGGAGTTCGTTGTTGCCCCCCACGAGGTCGAGCCGCATTCGTACGTGGCCATCGCTGACGGGCACAAGAGGCACAACATGGCCAAGGTTTATGCTGGGTTCTACGACTACGACGACGCGACCGTTGAGCGCTCAAAGCAGCAGCGCGTCCCGATAGTGCTCGTGGCGAAGTGCGGTAACCCACTGGAAGCGAGTGACCCGAAACCTGGTAATCGCGGGAAGCGCGACAGCCAGATCGTGCTGATGTCGTTCTTGCAAAAGGTGATGTTTGACGAGAGGATGACGACGTTTGAGTATGAGTTCTTCAATGCGATATGGAGGGTGACGGGCGTGAGTCCGGATCGGTATGAGCTGATACTGTGTGTGGATGCGGATACGAAGGTGTTCCCGGATTCGATGACGAGGATGGTTAGTTGTATGGTGCATGATGAGGAGATTATGGGCCTTTGCGGGGAGACGAAGATTGCGAATAAGGCGGAGACGTTTGTTACTATGATGCAGGGTGTGTGGTCTCGGATTTTTTCTCTTCTTTTTCTTGACATGGCGTCTTTCCGTAGTCTTCGAGTACTACATCTCGCACCACATGACCAAGGCCTTCGAGTCCATGTTCGGCGGCGTGACGTGTCTCCCTGGTTGTTTCAGCATGTACCGTGTCAAGGCCCCTAAAGGCGACACCGGCTATTGGGTCCCTATCCTCGCGAACCCGGATATTGTCGAACACTACTCTGAGAACGTCGTCGATACACTGCACAAGAAGAACTTGCTCCTACTTGGAGAAGATCGATACCTCACTACGCTCCTCCTCAAGACCTTCCCCAAGCGCAAGAACATGTTCTGTCCACAGGCCGTCTGTAAGACCGTCGTGCCAGATACCTTCCGCGTGCTACTCTCCCAGCGTCGGCGCTGGATCAACTCGACAATTCATAATCTTGCCGAGCTCGTCCTAGTCCGCGACCTTTGTGGTACATTCTGCTTCTCGATGCAGTTCGTCGTCGGCATGGAGCTTGCGGGTACCCTCGTTCTCCCCGCCGCCATCGCCTTCACCCTGTACCTCATCATCTCCTCCATCATCCCCGGGGGAGCCAATACCACCATCCCGCTCATCCTGCTCGCCTTCGTGCTCGGTCTCCCAGGTCTTCTCATTGTCGTGACTTCGCGCAAGCTTGCATACGTCGGGTGGATGGTTGTGTATCTCATTTCGCTTCCGATTTGGAATGGTATTCTGCCTGCGTATGCGTTTTGGCACTTTGACGACTTCTCGTGGGGTCAGACGCGTAAGGTCGATGGGGCGGATAAGGCGGAGACGGGTGATAAGGAGGGAGAGTTTGATTCGACGCATATTGTCATGAAGCGCTGGGCAGAGTTTGAGCGCGATCGTAGGTGGAAGAGTGGTACGCAGTCGAGGGACTCGGCCTACTATGACAAAAAGTAGGTTCCACCACGATGTTATGGTCTCTTTCAGTGCTGATTTCTGGTTTTCTTTGCAGGACCGAAAGCAACCGCTACTCGACCGCCTCCAACTCAGAT